CGCGTTCTCCCTCATGTTGTGTGGATCTTCCTGTGTCTTCCTGCGAGTGTTAGTTTACTTTTCCCCAGTTAGTTCTGTATTTCCTGTATTCTGCCGTGCCAGCATTAAAGCTGCTTTTGAGTTCATCCCCGTGTCTGTGAGTTTTGCGTTTGGGTCCTCATCCTGCCTGCCACACAGCAACCCTTGACACTTAGTCCTGTAGGCAACCATAGTCTCAATAAATGCCTCACCAGGCAAGTTTTTATTATTAATATTAGTAATTTATTTACGTATTCATTTATTTCAATAAACTAACAGATACTGAAACTCGGGATATTTCATGTTCCTATTCTGGGCTTCTCTGTTCGGGCTGCTGCCCCTGCAACCCGGCGGAAGTCTCAGCTGACTGCAGGTTGATCAGTGGTTGTTAATCAACGGCCATGAGAATTTGCATAATTATGATGAAGGAACTGACCTCACAGCCCTTTGTTCCTTCAGTGGGCTGGTTTCAGTCATTGTGCAAATGTACTGTTTATAAGGCTGGGGAAACCTGCTGTCAGCTGAGACTGAATAAGTCACTTGGATGAGTGACGAAGCGTTTCTCCCACTGAAAACGCTACGTCCACATGAACAGAATCAACTTCTGGACAGATAGGATAAACTGAATCAAATGATAGTGCACTATCACTGCTGCTCATATCAGGAAGTGCATCCAGTGCAAAACCTGTGCCAGGTCAAAAGATGCAGATATGGGAAACAAAGGAGCTCCTGCAGGAGTCAGGAGAGTGTCCTGAAGTGTTACTTATTACCTGACATAAACAACTAAATATGAAGTTGAGTTTTCTCATGTGTTCCTGATTCTCCTGTGACTTTCCTCTGCCCTGTGGCATTCTTATCTGAAAGCACTTCACACCCGTGGGGAATTTTCTCCTGTGTATTTTGTAAAAACACCCCGGAGCACAGTCACCGTCAGCAAAACTGCTGCATGTCTGTCCTGATAAGCTCTGTGATAACTATAATCTTTGGCTCATTCCTGAATGTTTGGATGAAGAAGAAAGCTTATCAAACTTTTCTAATTGTTTTTACCCAGTTTTAGAGCTTCGCAGGTGATTTTTACTGTTGTCTATTAATTTCTAGTAAATTAAGGGGAAATAATATATATTTAGTATTATGTCTGTATTAATGATGCTTTGGATGCATTTTATACTTGTGCCTCTGTGTTCTGTGGTTACACAATATTTGTGCAAAAAATAATGAATGAAAATAATTGAAATGTTTGTAAATTATTCTTTGAAAGTGAAAATATGCTCTAAACTTTCGCTGTTAAATATTTTTCGCTGCTCTCCCTTTTTGACTTTACACGGTAACAACAATAGTAAATGAAAATAAATGAAAACAATGGGAGGTGCTCAGAATAGGAAGCCTGAAGTCATTGAACCAGTATTCGTGCACATGTATGTCAGTTTAGTAGTTCAGGCTTTAACATTACTGTGGACTCGAACTTCCTGTGGTGTTTTCTATTTTTATGTGTAGTTGAAGTTTATTATCACGTTCCCATAAAAAAAATAAAATAAAATCAAGGCCAGCAGTTTTGTAGCTCAACTCAACATAATGACAGTGCTGGATTTTTCCATATTTGACTAAATATGTGACTAAATTTGTGTTACGTGCAAATAAATCCTTCCTGAACCAAATCTCGCCTCTCGTCAGATATCTTGAAACATCTGCAGGAACTTTTTTTGGGCAGTTCTTTTGAAGGATGATCTAAATTAATTTCAGCTTCTATAAAATCCCATCCCATAAATCCCATTTATTCTCATGTCTATTTCAGTAAAAGATGAATTCAAGAAAAATAAAAAATAGATCGGAGAAACCCAACTTGATCACAATTTCACAAAATTTTATTACTTAATTAGTACAAATACAATACAATAAAAAATATAGAAAATTTATCATATCTGGTGATTGGTCCTGTTTTTTTGTTGTTGTTTTTTTACCCAACCAAGAACCTTCATAACAATAAAAAGCCTTTAAACTTCA